ATCGACGTACTTCAATGCAGTTGGCGTCGGTTGAGAACGAGCAGCATCTGTCACTCACTGGCAAGAAGAAAGCGCTGATCCAGCATTGCGACGAGTGACCGTTAACCTCACAACTATCAATGCTGGCAGTAAGTAGGGCATCTTCGATGCGTACACATCGTGAATTCAGACCACCGTCGAATGCAGAGGCAAACAGTGTCAATATAGTTGACGGGTACTTAAATAACGGTACGAGCTCCTGTATATTTTCGACATTCGGAGAAGCAATCCTCCAACATACATACAAACCTTTGTACGAACCAAGGCGTGGTCGGGGTCCAGACAAGTTGCCCAGGACGATCGGCAGTCTGTTATACTTCCGTGCCATTTTAACTTCTTGCTATGTGCTCAAGCTGTTACCACTCTTGCGTTTGAGAAAGCTTGCTCCAAGAAGCAGTCTGGCTCTTTGATTGCCGAAAATTAGTGTTCGAGAAACAAACTAGTATCGAAAAAGAGTCATTAGTCTGTCCTTTTGTCCGCTCGACCACTACCGAGACAAAAAAACTACCCTCACGATAGTGTACACTTTATGGCAGATGGCCAACTCCAGCGTTAAAATCTCCGGCAAGTATGAAAGTATCAGACCTTTGGAGGAAAAATAAGGGTCAAATAATTGTTGATAAAGTAACCCTTGACTGCATCCGGGCTGCCGTCAGTAGGAGTGTAGGCAGAGATGATAAATAACGCAAGGCTAATATCTCAGAGCTTAAATAATTTACATGCACCTCGAAGTCGGAACACACCTAGCTGACCGTTGACTTGGATCCTTACATGCAGAATAGTCATAGCCTTGTCACTCATTGCAACTCCAACATCGTCCAATCCAGAATGTGCAACCTCTGAGCCCCTTGAATGGTTCAAATGGTATTTAAAGTCAGGGTTTGCCGGAGAGGTAATTCTGATAACGGTATTGATATTTTGTGATCTTGTTTTCGAAAGGCAGGAAATATATATCTTGAGCTTCTCAAGGGTGTGGGCCAGGCAGGCGTGTTATCCTATCTACATCAGACTCAGGATATGGAATGCTGCTAGGCCTAATGTAAGAAAAGGTCAAAAGAAAACTGAGGCTTCGGGGGAGCGTGAGTAGCTAGTGATCGCAGGGCACCGAACAACAGAAATCTTACTCTTGCTTCCATCAGGTGGAACCAGTGAGTTAATGTTGGCGGTGACCGAAAAGGGCATAAATGTAGCTGAATGACAGGACGTGGGACGATCTGTGAGTGCAGTTGATCAATGGAGACAGAAGAGCCAGTAGACGTAAAAATAGCATAGGAAGTAGCAGATAATTCCAGCGGTGATTCGCCAGTGGATATGCTATTGTCTGGTTGCCCAGGCCGAAGTAGTGGGTTGACTTAGGTGTCCACACTTCAAGCCTGTAATCAGGGATCTAGCCTACAAGGCGACGAAGCGGTATGAGGGTTTCGCAAACCGTTAAGAGCCGGTAACCAAACCAGTGGTTCATCCGCCTTCTTCTTCCAAAGCTCCTGGAGGACAGCACACCTCTAATTACAATGCCACTCTAAGGGAGGTAAGGGGTGGTGACTTTATTCAGTGAAGTGTCACATCCGTCAATTTCTAGCGCTGTTAAACGGAACTTCGTGGCTTTCAATAAGGAGGCTTGTCAGGGGAAAAGATACTACCTCTTGGAACACTGCCGCCGAACCATTTACTGGAATGGGATAATCCCGTACCACCAGCTGGCCCCACGATGAGGTTGTTCTTGTCAATATACTAAGAATGGGAATGGGAGCACAGCGTGCAAAATGAATTCCCAAATACGTGTTGTTATACTTTGTGTGAGGACACTTGCAAACACAATCCTTCGCGGTTTCTCACTTGAATCTTTGTAGCTCTTCTCACCCGATTGGGATTAGCTAATAGGGAAATTCAATAATGCAGTGGATTGTGCTGTAGTGATATTAGTTTCCCTCCCAGCAGCTTTTCAGAAGTACTCAGCGTGGGGAAAAAGCAAAAATGATAAGATTTTATACACTAATGGTTTTTAGGTTTCCTATGTATTGGTATCCTAGAAGTTAGAATGTGTGGGGCTGGACACGAAACTTCCCTTTGCAAGACTTTTGGAGTGAAGATAAAATCACGACTGCAGTACATTTCGTCCCATTGTCTAGTAATTCCATTCATTAAAAGTGTCTGCTAAGCCAGACCTTTTCAAATAAGAAAAGCTGGAATCGAAAAATCTGCCTCGTCTTCAGCCAAGTGGCTAACAAAGCGGCGGTGACCATCATTTCCTTTGGGTGATTAGACTGTATTTTACAACAATCCTTTCTATTAACCCGCGGCCGCCATTTACTAAAGTGTTTGCTTTACTATTTAAGCTATTGGATGCAGTAGGCTTTTAATCAGGGATGACTTCAAATCTTTAGTTTTAATATGGACATACAGAGGTGCTGCCCTAATATTTGGAAAGTGTGTAGCCCATGAAACCTCGAATATCGGCTGGCGTTAAGTAGCGGAGTATGCAGCAATTGACACGAAAACATTGACTTAAAAGGTAGGGGTTAGTTGGGACAGAACAGTGCGAAAGATTCATCTGTAAACGAAACATTTAGGGAGGTACTTATTCCTGCATGGCTTACCGTAACCAAGAGGTTTATTCAACCACACAGTGTAGCAGCACACACACATGCATGCAGAGGCAACTCAAACGATCCTCTGCGTGGGATGCTAACCGTGCCTCTTTCATAGTACAGGGTTAACGGACGCAAAATGCATTGCCTAGGATTCACTGATATTAGTCAGCTGTGCAATAAAAGTCAGTGGTTGTATAGCTTGTATGAATAATAGCCATATGTGATGCATTATTCCTCAGCAAAATAACATTTAAATTAGTCATACTCACTATGTACGAATGCAAAGATTTGTGTACAGCTGAAGGAGAACCATTGCGCATTACACCCAGTAACTGGGCGGTGTCCGTTGTAGCTGTCCGCCGTGGATCACTGGACGTAAATTTGGGCTCGAAAGAGTAGGGTTGCTGGATAACAAGGGTCCGAGGGAATGCGCGCTGCCGACGATTCCAGGGCATCTCAGTATATGTAATGGATGTCTGCTGTTCATCTAGATATAATGATATTTTGCTAATCGTTCAGCCAAATATTATTTTAAAATATTAACAAATCTTGAACGTGAGCTATCAATTCGATGGTTAACTTTTAGCCATCCAGTGCCCTTTCTCTCACTATAAGTCAATACTTAGTAACTTCAAACCTAATATGGGGTAAAAGATCAAACTCAGGAAGTCAAGTTCCCACGAACATTTTTTGAAGTTTTCATTTCCGGGAGCATGGTAACTCATAGGCTTTGTAATGCCATAGTATGTCTGTCAGTAAATGCGCTTTACCGGAAACGGCCGAACACCTGTACGCTTTGTACGCTATAGATGTTTATGCATTTAATTGTACTGTTCTACAAAGCTTCATATAGTAACTGCCTGTCATCTAACACATTTGTCGGTATTCATCATTCATCACATGTTTACACTTGCTAGGTCCGGTTGGTCACGGAAACTATAAGGAACCTAGTACCATACTAACAGATCCACCTGGAGGACAAGTTTTGATGCACGAATGGCTCCTTCGGTCACAAAGAGGGTGTAAACATATTCGGGTTTAGTCAAATGATTAAGTTAAGGTATAAATTGCTCGGAATCATTTAACCAGGAAGGTTCATAGCAACTGTTATTAGGCGGTATCACGATAATTCATTCTTTCTTTGTATCCAAATTAGATCATGCAGTGTCGCAGAAGGCAAGGTTTACTGAATGTCGACAAATGTGGCTTGACAATTCCAGCAAATCCGCTCATTAACTAAAGGCCCGGAAACGACTATATCAATATTGGCCCCAGAACCATTGGCGAATAAGTCGGTAGCAGAAATCAACGAGGATTACATCAGGTTGTTTGTTCCTGGGGTATTTTCCACCATGTGCTTTTGAGTTCCATCATTTGTATGTCATTTGTTGTGTTTTATTCAATAAATACATGTAATGTTACTTATTGACTAGAGCACTCAGTGCGAAATTGCAGTCGTTTGGCAACAGCATTGCGATCTAACTCCAGTTGTCAAGCCTTCCGAGATGTAAAGGGGCTAGACTCGTTTGGTTACTCCATTAAAGAGTACTGTACTTGTGGTAAGATTTTGATTGCCCCTGTAACACGGAGAGTATTGGTGGTTAGGTACTTTGATTACACCGATGGTGCGCACTGAGCCACTGATATGTCACCTGTCCATCAGGTCAAGCAAATTCCCTGGGACATAAGCTGACAATCATAAAGCGGAAAATCGATAGGTCAGGTTGGCATTTGCGAGACTGTTTTGCCTACCGAGTTGAGCAAGCAAACAGTTCAGTTCGGTGAGAATATAGAAAACTTCAAAGCAGTTAATCAAAACAAGCATGAGAAAAGAGCTTAACTTGAGAAAAGTACTATTTAATTTTCATAGAGTTTATACAGTCAGAGAACCGAAAGCGGTCTTCTGTCATTCATCAGACAGAAATTAGAGCCACGTTGAATGGCTGTTTTCCAAATGTATACAAATAACAGACGGAGGATGGCGTACACGTGCGACAGCGATAAATCGTAAAGCTACCCGAATACATTTGGTTGAAACCATACTTTACGGCGATGCTTATCGATCCTAATTGTTTTGAAGCGGCTATGTATGACATCTAATTACTGTTGTTATTAATACAATGGTACCATATTTCCAAGAAGGAACAAATTGGTCACCAATTCAGATCTATTTGTACACATAGATTAGGCGGATCATTCTGTCACGCTGACCAACCAGATTTATAACATCAAGATTAATTTCATAATTAAAGAAATAAACTTAATTTAATTAACAATTTTCAGCATTCAAAAGAAGGCTCCTGCAGATAGTGCAACCAATTCACGTACTTCAATAAAACGATTAATTTGTCAAACGCCTTTGCATGGTAGTCACGTTACAGTTTGCTCCTTCACAGTATAGAAGCAACCTGATTTATGTTCCACATATGGCCATAAATTGTTGCGTTCTGCAAATTGGCGGGTCTGTTGTACTTCGGAGCTCTCGCCGCCAGCTGTATTCCGTCGTGCTGCATCAGAACAACTGGGCATTTCATCCAATGTGCAGGCGGTTGCAGGATAGTACGTAAACGTTTCTCGTTGGTATTTAACAGGTCCCCCACGTGTAACAAGACCAGCAGCTATTCTATGGTTGTTGATCTCGTCCGCTTTGTCTTTAATGGTATAAGTTGCTCGATAGGTCGTTTCACCGGTAACTGGTTTGTCGGACACCTCAAATGGGGGTTCTCTGATATATTTAGTACCTGTTCTCCTTGATGGCATGTCGCGCTGTTGCTTGGGTGTATAGGACAATGCATATGTTGTCGTTTTTTCCATCGTCACATTTGCTAACTTCGGATTCTGGATATTTCTGCTATTTTCATCATTTTTCGCACTCTTTAGGCGCTTTGGTAACAATGAGTGTAGAATGTTCGCGGCATTTGGGACCGGGTATTTACACAGACTTTCAAATAAGTTCGTAGTAGGCCGACAGAAATCACTCCTATAGGCGGACTGGCAGTTGAACTTCTCCTCGCTCACTTGGGGCACGTGTATCAGCTTGCGACGTTCTGGCATGCCTAAAGGATCCATCGTTTGGGTGGGAAGAAAGAATAAGTGTTATCTAATTACCTAGGTAAGTTGAGTGGACACTACATCTTAATACAGATCATTGGGACTCCATGTAAAGCAGAAAATGCCTAAAGGGTACGCGCCAGTCAGCAACTTATAAACCTAGGTTTCGAATCTAAATTCCGCTGTTTCTTTCAAAAATTACCATCAGATGCGTCGCTTGTCCCAGAGTACAGTGTTTATAGCGGGTAACATACTCAAACAGCGGCCTTGGGTTAAAGGCAGCTAAAAGTCTGTTTATTGTGCACCCGTTATGTTAAAAAGTTTAATTTGCAAAATCTCACTAAGTCTGGTGTTGTTATACTTAATGCGTATGTTGCATACTCCATCTAGTTCAGGATCGTTTATTCTGCCCCCGTAAATCTAAACCAGAAAAGGATACATTGTCGAGAGACAAGTGGGTTTACGGCTGCTGCTCTTGATGTTATAGTGTGCACATGAAAGTACACCTATTTTGATTGCTTATGAGTGCGTTTCTTCCAGAGAAGTTTATGACGCTTGACATTTGAAGGAATCGGGTGATCGCCACAAATGCACCTACTGTCCACAATGACCAATCTAACTGAACCAAATACGCAAGTATCTTCCAGTTCTATTTGATTGTCCTCGGTCACCGCACCGACGGTCGCACGTGCCTCTTGGCAGCGCTGCAGCAAACCACACCTAAATTCGAAGCGACCAACTTAAGCACAATAATTACCTCTTAGGCGATTTGTTGCTTTCCCAATCTAGATTGTTAAATAGACTTTGTTGAGTACAAGTTCTGGTGTTTCGGAGCTGCTCTGCCTTTTGGTGGTAAAGGTTTTGCATACACTATTCGTCTGATCAACCTGGGGATAGCAGTATGCGCCTATGTGAACACTAGCGGTCCTAACGTTATTGGAACGATGCATTTTAATTGAAGGCGGCCTTAACGAAGCATTATAACCAATAGCATTGTGTTATTATGCCTAATAAATCGAGTTGCATCTCCAACGCATCATTCCGCAGTTATCACACCTCAACCGCAATGAGACAACAGGACTGTCCGAAAGATTCTACCTCAGATAGCTTCTGCTTGTATGTGATCACTGTGTAACAAATTTCGCAAACATACCCCAGTTTCGCTGAGGTCTACATACACATGCCATGACTTAGGCTACCATGTATAGCACGCACACTAGTTCCGTAGGGATGAAAAGATACGTCAGATCATGTACGCTGCATTAATATCTGAGAAAATCCAAGTTAAAAATAATCGTACCCTATGTAACATGACTCCCAGTGGGTCAGCTAACACCATCGAGATAAAAGCCTTCGCAATATGTAACGGTCTGTTTAGCCGGTGCTTAACTCAATAAATGGATGTCTTTAGTGGTGTTCAAATAAGTGATTTGTGATACATTTAGAGTAAAGACTTGTAATCAAACGACTTGAGGAGCAACCGATAGCAAAATATTGCCCACTGATTCATCGCCTTCCCAACATTAATAGTGGTCATTTTCCAGATGCTTTACATATGTAGCCTAAAGGTGAGATACCTCAAACTGTAGTTGAACTGGTTGTTCAAGCCTAAAGCAGTGGCCTGCTCACACCACATAATCCGTTAGTTGTTTGTTATAAGACTGAACACATTTATATTCTTTACTGCCTGTCATTCTGCCAGAAGTCATTGTCAGGTTGGGAAGTGGTCCAATCTGCACGACATGCTTTGCCAGTTTATTTGAAACATTCCCTCTTTTAAGGACACGACAGTCTATAAGTGGGTGTCACCTTGTGTTAAGCACAAACGTTCAGTTTGTTGAGTGAAGTTAACACGATAGCTTTTTCCTTGCCGACGTTAGGAAATCTCCCGTCACTGTCTAACAAATATGGCAGATAAATTGCGGCCAGTTGTGTAATCGCGAACACATCAAAATACGGGCTTGTGTGTGCAGTGTAAGCACCGCAGGATGGATACAGCAGTTCATTGTTGGAAAGTCATTATGAAAATCAGTCCCACAAGCTTTCCACAAATAGGAACTCAAGGTCAATGATCGACATTTTACTGCAAGGTTACTGACTGGTTCCATTAGATCACCCTTATTAAAGCGCTCTTCAATTGAATGATTAGCCATTGGACGACTGAGCAAGGTTGTCATGACTACAGAACGTAAAAACAAATTAAAATTGCCCGTCCTGGTCAGACGTAAGATGATCAATAACATAGAAAAGCGCCACTCACAAAGCAGACATCTAAAACATATATTAACTCCGGTGTATCGATAAGTTTTACCACCGCTTGTATATATTTGCGGGAGCAATTACTCAGTGAGAGTAGAAAGAAAGTTAATAATTTTCGTTCCTAAATTATCCCCATGGGATCAGCAATTGACAATTGTGCATTCCACTCCACCTGATCCTGCAAAATCTGTTGCGACAGTACCGAAGAAGGATGTCTTCCTTACGGTTCCTTTTAAATGTGACATTGCCTTCGAACTGTTGAACAAAAAGCTTTTATCCGAAGTGACCCATGCGTATCCAGCTGCTAAGCTAAAACTAGTTGCTGAAACAAGGCCTTTACTTCCTCACCACCTAAGGATAAATTTCCGGTCCGGTCAGAATCTTTAATCGTATACCAGTTCACTTGCACCTGTGGTGCAAGTTACCTTGGACATATGACCATGTGCTTGTCCAAACGGACTGCTGAGTACTGTCCTGCGTCGCTGCGAAAGGCCGCTGTGTAGCGCATAATTAGTTCCATTCTAAAACACTTGGTTAAAACTTGTTATGAAGCCCGACAGAATGAGTCATTTAAAGTGGTCTGTGCTATCCCTATACGTTAGCCAAAAATGCGCGAGAAACATCTATTAATCATCGCTGATGCCATCGCGATGAGAGTTTTGGAATCAGAACTATGCGAACAACAAACTCTGGTACAAGCTTTGATGTTGCCCTGGCCATAAACCTTCTCAGCGTTAATTGTCCAGCGTTGCTCATTTGCTTTTGCGTGTACCGCCTAGTCTGCTAGAGCAGACCATTTATATACCTTTCAAAACTTTTAGCTAACCAATTGGATCGGTGTGGTTTCCTCTACATTTATGTGTCCTATCTTACCAAGGCTTCCACAAGCTTATTCATGTCATAATTTTCTTTATAACTGTACATGACCAAGGTGACTTATTGAGAAGAATATTCTTCGCATAATTGTTAATTCGTAATTTTCATAAAGGACTTTGGATGCCGAGTATGTCAGCTTAACTATTTGTCTCACTGATGCGGGCACGTTCGCAAAACTCACTGAAATAGGACGCGTCTGCTAAACTTATTGGTTTGCAGTGCGTCTGTTCGGATATACTTTACTGTGAGCTCCCTCACCCAAAGGGAAAAATGAGCAGCGATCAACTGGACTGTGTTTGCCCCGTATAGAATTATAGGGAAAATCCTAAACATTGCCGGATAGATTTCTGGTTATCAAAAACCGAAAAATAAATATCAGAGAAGTGCCGATTAACCATCATTGTATTTCTACGGAATAGTCCGGACACCCTGTTCATTAAATGCAGTAGTCGAGTATATCTAGGAAACATTAGTAGCTTAGAGGTATCCGATTCTGTGCAACTAAAGGGAAAATGCGCTGAACTGTGGAAGATTGACTTATGTTACCCAAACGAAAACACCGCACCCCATGACCGGTTTTGAGCTTATTTGCTCTTATCAGATAGCGATTATTTGAAATCGAACCCGTGCCTTTTCGAATGCCAGTCGAAATCTATACCCTTAAAAATCCAAATGACCATGAGTAGCCTTTGTCACTATTGCTATTGACTAGTTGGAAGTGTTATATAGAGGCACTCGCGATCCACGCTGAAGGGAACTCCGGCCTCTTCGATCAAGGGGACCGTATACGGAGAAAATTTATGTTGGGTGTTATTCGTTTAAACATGTTGAGGTTGCATGTCGCAGTCCAGGTGGACTTCAACCTGGCCTGCGCAAGAAGCCGGGTAATAAAGTAGAATTCCTGAGTTCATTTGTTCGCCGAGCTTCGGAATTGGGACGCAAACTTTTCATCACGAAGTGAGGTGACTTCGTCAGTGCGCTGCTGTATCCAATCTAATCCGCTGACTTGTTCGTCGATTTGTCGAACCTTTTTTCTTAACACTGACGACTTCAACATCCAGCCTGTGACATCCAAAGCCAACACTGCATGACAGTTCATCGCATAGCTAAAAACTCATTTTCGCCAGTTTCTTGCTTTGTGGTCACAAAGTACTCCCATCCTATTCAGAGAAACAAGTAAGCCATCTCTATACTGGAGCGAATAAGTATTCGGTCTCATGTTTGAGTGTGTAACCATCAATAATCCTTTAGGCCGCAATAATCATGCAGTAATCATGTGAACCTGTTATACGGAAAAAATCAGAGCGAATACTCACGTGACGCAGATCATTACATGGTACGACACAATAACTGGGCCTGATGAAGTAGTAAATGCAATTTTTAGCCGAGTATACTCCGGGTATTGCTTGGGAAAGTTTGGTTGCTGAGAAATCGGCAACTAGGGTTATCCGATCCAGCAACCGAGGTTCGTTTGTACGGAGTACGAGGCAAAAATGCATGGCGATTTGAACCGCAGCATAACATGCTCACAAAAACAACCCGAGCTCGAGCTGCTGGAGAGTCTACGTCGGCCACCGTAACCATTGTCTTCAACTGGTGCACAAGGACAACTTTGCATATCAACAGCCCTTAACAGTACGATTTGTTTAGGACTACAAACTACTACACAAACATGTGAATAGCTATCCTCTTCTTGTAACTGCAGCTGGACCAAGAAGCATCGCCAAAGAAGCAGCAAATGCCCTACAGTAGCAGTACGCGCCAAAGGTTTTATGTGCTCCATGGTATCCAGACCAATCGAAATGGATTGTGACACCACAAGTCTAACTCATGTTATATTTTACGGCAAGCAATGTGATAAGGAAACGTTTGTTCATACACCAAAACAGTTATCCTGGAATTGGTATTTTCAACCTAAGACGCTTGTTACAGCAGCTAAGAAAGAGGCTGAAACTGTGGTTCGGCTTTTCAGCACTGTTCTAATGAGATGCATGTTTCTATAGCACGGAAACATGTGATAATAACTCAACTTAAACGCAAACAGCTTTTCCGACCTAGCTAACTACCTTCAAGTGCCTCCTCTCCTAGTTCTTTCAAAAATCATTGGGGCTATCACTGATGACTCGCTTATGTCCTACTTTGAGGAAATTATCTACGTCGCACAAGAACAACATAGCTTACGCCGGAACCGAATGTGAACTACCACGCTACTGTTAGCATGGAACAGTTAGACCGAAACGGTGGAGATTTTTGTAGGATTTAATGTAGTCTCTCTCGACTTCTCTAAGACGTTCGATCATTTGGACCCTTGTATCCTTTTAGCATCCTTCTACCATTGACAACTGACCATAGCAAACCATGGGGGATGCAGCATTGGTTATCCCATCTTGGGGTGGACAAGCAACTTCTTGAACAAGTGTCTGGAACTGGAACTATGCGAAATGGTAGTTAATAAAATATACGTGAAATTCCGTGTGCCATACGCTCCGCTATTTCGGCCCCGTCTCCTCTTGATTTTCATTCACATGCTCTCTGCTTAATCATCCCACACCGTTTGCTTTAAGCCAATGACATCAAAGTTTAGCTCCTGGCGACCGCATACAGTCTCAAAAGGAACCTGACCCGAAATATGAATGGTCAACCTACAGCCATATCTAATTCAACCTGACTAAATGTCGAGTTCGACATGTACGACACCAAGTGCTTCACACCTACGTGCTAGGCGACGCTATCTCCTCCGCTGTTCTTGTGAAATAGTGCTCTGGAATTTCTTGGTTGTTAAGGCAATCTGAATAGGCCGCAAAAATGGGTATCCAAAACTAGAGGCTCTAAAACATAGCATTTAGTCACTTTCATTCATCTGGTTTCTATTCTGCTTTCCGCATACATGCTCTAGCAGATGGAATATTCAATTAAATCATGGTGGCCATAGCCGAAGCACGATCTGCTTGTCCCGAAAATTCCACAAAGCCGGCCACCGAAAGCATCAATAGGCCATATCACCTGCACACTTGGCCTGAGTATTTTGCTGGTGGCCAATGGATGCCATCGGAGTTTCTGTGGTAACATGCTCACTGCTTATTTGATTTTAGGTAACACAAATCACCCGATAAAACTCGTCATAACAGCAGAATGGGAGGCCAGCTTTTCTACCGACAGAACAATAGAGCCTGCTGGAATTTAGATGAAGTTTCTTCTCCGTTAGTTTAGCCACTAGGTTAGCTGTGTTCAAAGATCATGTCGATACTTCTCTGGTCGCATTCCACGACACCATTAGCACCCATGAATCATACGTACATTCAGATGAAAAAAACCGCATCAACCCATGCTCTTTTATCTGGGACAACCCAAAAGCTGTAAATCTACCTAGCTTTCAATAGCATTTTCAGTTCGTTAACTATAGACTTTCAAGTTGTTCGGTTGTTTCATGAATTGCCGACGTATGAGTGAAGCGGCTTGTGTCATCAGAACCATGTGCAAAAAATGCAATCAACTCTTGGATACATTTGTCGCTTCACTCGAGGATGAACAGCTCGTTGCAGAACCGAAAAAGTTGAAAAGTCCATTGTTAGTGAACTGAAAAAGCTATTGAAAGCTGAAGTGTGAGTTAAAATCTATGAGAACTTCGCCCACGCAAAGCTCAAAAGCGGCGACTTTTAAGTCGCATAAATCCATAGACGAACGATTTAGAATTGCAAAAGTTTGTCCACTAAGTCCCCTGTCTTCGGTTTAAATAAATAAATAATTTATTCTCAGTTTCATAGTAATTTATAGTGATTTATTTATAGTAATTATTTCTTTTTTTAAAACTTAATCACCGTACTGTGGGATATATTGAGCTTCGGCATTTTTCTTGCAATATACCATTGGAAACTGACCATTGACAAGGCGAGTGTTTTAAAATGACCCCAATATTGGCGCGTGTTTCAGTGTGGTATTCACTCGGCCCACTCACACAGGTTTTGACGAATGGTATTACAGAAATAGTATAGCTCTTACAAAGGGCAAATCTAAAAATTTAACGCACCGGACACCGTAGCAAATATGGATTTCAGCTTAGACCTCAAAATTTTATGACTTACTTGATCTTTTAAAGCAAAAGTCACATTTATCGCCATTAAGTTGTACCGCGGAACATTAGTTTGTAGATTCTACACGAGTTCAATTACATGCTTCGGTAGTATGAATAGGGAGAACACTGGAAAAAGCAGCTTATGCGCACCTGTGTATTTTGTAGGGAATTGCTCTCGATAAGATGTGCAAGGAAAGAATCTCTCGTTGCTTCTTCGAATTTGCCCCAGACATCGCCAGTGGACTTGTGCTGCCCGTGGATCATCTACGACATATTGTATATTTGAATCATCACTTGGCAAGCCATCATCGGTAACCAGGCTCAGGGTAGTACGGTAAGCAGAAACCTGGAACACATGCATGTGAATTAAAAGGCTGATCAAGAAAAACCACCACTCGTTGGTTTTCAAGAGCTTCTAGAGATATGGAATTTACTGATGGTGAAGGAATCAGCACAGTGATTCTAACATGCACTACTTGTTGATTTTGGTCTTATCCTTTTCTACCGAAAGCTTTAGTGATACATATCACGAACCACACATAAATATTTGTGGTCTCAAACAAAAGCAAACTACACATTTTATCTGACCAATCAACAATCGCAAGTGTGGACCGAGCATTAAAGTAGCTATCGTACAGGTTGTGTCCGTATTGCTCAGCCGCTCTGTTTGCCTCGTGAACAAACAAGCCGCTTAAAGCTGCCCCGCGTGAGCCAGGCACAAAGAATGTGACGACCTTGCACATGCAGACAATTCAGCGCATACGCGACCAGCAGGAAACCGTAAGTGTTTGGGCCCATATGGGATTACAATCGATCCACACAATGGATCGTGCCGACCAAACAAAAGCCCATTTTGCAGCATCCAGATTGACATCAGTACGTGGACTTTAATTATGCCATAAAAACCTATGGATTGGTATTCAACGTAGCAGGTACCAAGGCAACTTCTGCCGCAAATATTCAACTTCGCAGTGAACCAGCTGAAGCTGCACAATAGTAAACCAGATTCAATGTGGTTCTGTTCAGTGTGTATAGTTATGCCACTGGTAAAGATTATATATCAACTATCGCAAAAGTACGAAAGACTAGTGGTAATTTTTGAACAAAGGGGAACACCAAAAGCGATTCATTTGCAGAAAGCTTGACAGAGAGTAAATCCCGGTCATTCCAATCCAGCACCGCATTAAAACTGAGGAAGAAGGCTAGGCAGCACGATAAACATGCATCATCTGTGACATTAAAAGTCAATACCACCAGTTGCTCAAATATGCCTGAAACAATCACAGCCAGTCCGATTGCATTGAGCACTGTCAGAGCCTCGTCCACCTTCCAAACGGTTCCGAAAATTCAGAAGCCCTTCGACACCAGTGGGGATTGGAACTTGCTTGCTGCCAAAAGTGACCGAAAACCTAGAACTTCGGCCGCTCTCATTGGACCCATAGTACATGAAGAAAAAGAAGCTGTACCCAAACAGCCTTCATCGACTGTATACAGACCAGCCGGTGGCTTGACCACAACCAGTTGCACGTAGTATACCAGTGGTAATCTGCACTAACATTTTAGAATCGACGTCAAATTCCTTGAAAGGAAAACAACTTGATGATGTGAATTAGTGGAACTCTATATGGGAAACTATAAGTGCTGTAACTAAGCCAGTAAATTTGACACGCGTTACCCGTCACCCAAACTCACACCACTGCGCTGAGCCAAGACTTCTCCAAGTTGTGCTGACTTCCGCCAATGAAGCAGAAGCTGTCCTGTTGTCAACAGCTCGCCTCCGGAATGGGTCATGCTCCATTTGCTTATTCCCATATATTCCATCGAGCAAGCGCACACAGGCGAAGCACTAGTTGGACAAAAACCAAAAGGAATTGGTAGCCAGGATCAACCTTGTACACGGTGCTCCCGAGGCTGGAAGTCATGCGGAAAGCGAAGCGACCACTCACGACCAGAAACATGGCGGTACATTTGCGTGACCCTCTCCACGGAAAACGTCATAGCGCAATCAATCTTGAGGCTGCGCCGATTGCCAAATTACAAATGATGTGGCCCGAGGATTGTGCAAGTGGTCCTTCAACTTATACATATGTCAGCAATGGTAGTGAAGGGATGGTCTATAGGCTGCAGCAGCCTTCCTTCCGAGCTCCGGATCAAAGCAGCATCTGCTAAGCAAACACACGAGAGCAGCCACTTAGTCAGACCACTTACCGAGATGAATTCGGATTACTTCAATCAATTAGCCAACGAAACTGGCAAGCACACACTACATTACATATAAACAGAGAAGCAAAAAGATAATGCTAGGATCCTTGAATCGGACACAGATAAGTTAGTCATCCCCACCCAAAAAACGATTAGTTTCCGACCTTATACAGATCGGCAAAAGTTTATCCAAAAAGCATCCCACGGTTCATTGCTAAAAACAGAGAAACGTTCATGCGTATATATCGATGCACAAGTGCTCCTGAACAAGCTTGCCAAACTGCGGATACGTTAGGCGTCACATGCCCAAGACCTCATACCCGTTAAGGGAACCTGGTTGCAGTCAGAAATTATCGATGCCGAAGTCACAATAAATTGTATGTTCCTTCTTCGAAACCACCGCCCTAGCAAAGGCTGTGAGGTAATGTTATACCACCGCAAAGATTTGTAGGGCGAACCGATGGCCGATCCGGAAACGCTGTACATGAACTCACTCTGGTGAAGTCTGCGACTGAGACACAAGGACATTTGTTTCTGGCTGTTGTTTATCGTCCCTAAATGTTTCCCCCAGTGATGGACTCCCGCCTGTCCTTATCCTTGGGAAGAGTCATACGAGGACGATATAGTCATGCTCTTACCTCAGCTGACTTCAACCTCCATGATTTGGTAGTTCCGGTATCCCTCTACGAACAGTTTAAGGTCGACCTGCAAGAGTGAATTGCAAGCATTCCGCTCTTCAGCCATGTCAGTTCACCCACGTGATTCAGAGCCGGAAATAAACCATCTGTGCTTAATTTACTGCTCAGGAACGAAGAGCTCATGGTTGAGAAACCAAGGCTGGTGAGCCCTCTAGGCGAAGTGACTACGGAACCGTAGTTTACGACTTCGTGTGTTATGCGGAGTATCCACAAGAACACACTAACTTATTTCGAACAAGCACCCACTACGACATACTGGCAGAACTTGTGGAAGCTGCCAGCTGGTAGTTTCCGGACGACTGTTCCATTGACAGGGCTTTGTTGAATTTTACTGGCAAGTTCAGTGATCTGATTAAATATGCATCAGTCAACAAGCGCTTTCATTCTTCAAGGTTACAATCAATCATTCGGCGTAAAACCCGAAACACATGACAGTAAGCGACGCTGCGTGGCATGTATGCAGTGCGAACCCTATCCGTGACAGCTAGAGTAATTATGTAGTACATCGTAATCACTGTACCATACTTGTGCGCGAAGACAACTTAGTACACCTGCGGAGTCTAGCAGAGATATGTTGTGTTAACAAAAAGCGTCTATACAGACATGTAAACAGCCTCCGGAATGTGAAACGTTATGCTCCCCCACTACTATCAGCGCATAGATGTGCGCAGACCGCCGAGGATGAAGCCAACTTTCTACGATTACAATATGCCCCAATCTTCCGATCTGCTCTAAGCATTTGTAACATACGTGTCCCAGTCTACCATATGCCAGTCTTTACCAACGTTAAGGTTAGTTCAGCGACCATTTGAAGAAGTTGCTCTCGTTGCGCACCTATAGTTGCCGGGAATTGACAACATTTCCCCGAAAGCACTGCAGGTGAGAGCTACGAGGGTAGCTGAAACAGTAACGAAATTTTTCCAAATATGCCTGGACGAACAGCAAGTCCCTCACATATGGAATCAAGACATCATTATCCCGATTTTCAAAAGTGGCAGCCGTTCAGAGCCAGCCAATTATCGCTCAGTGATTCTCCTCCAGGTGCTGTCAAAGGTAATGGAATCGAGCATAGCTGAGGCTGCAATGGGCTACTTCGAAAGCAGCAACACGGATTTCTTCAGCTTCGGTCGTGTACTACCAATCTACTTATTGCCCGTGGCAGTTGGACCAAAATAACCGAGAGCGGGACCGGCATCTACATCATCTACATAGAATTTTGTAAAGTCTTCGATCGCATAGATCACCTCATCCTTCTCCGATAGCTGCAAGAATACGGAGTTGGAAACCCAGTCCTTGGATGGATCGGAAACTTCCCCTTTCAGCGGCACCTTCGGATTCGAGTTGGAGGTTCATTTTCGGATCCAATTGGTATGGACTGGGTTGTTTCATAAGGGTCGGTGTTGGGACCGCATTTATTCTTGTTCTTCATTAACGTCCTTTCGAGAGTCAGCAAGCCAACTTTCCTGCTTTCTGCTGATGACATCAAGGTATGGATGGCAATCGACAATCAGGAATATCAGGATATGTTGCAACGAGTCTTAGACTGCGCTTTTGAATGGTCAAAGTTAAATCTACTTCTGTTTAACACGGACAGCTGCATAACCGTGCATGTCCGCCACAAGCCCAGGTACGCATATAAGCTAGGAGACCATATGCTGAACAAGGCCTCACAAGAGCGAGACCTTGGGGTGGTAATCCAAGACGATTTCGGCTGTTCGACGCAGTTAATGAAGGCGTCCAATACCACGAACCAACAAGTTGGTCTGTTTGGAGCTTGTTCGGGAGGTTCAATCCCACCATGTCCTCCCAAATGCTTAATGCGTGTGTAAGGTCCCATCTAGAGTTCGCGATTCAGGCTTAACAACCCTGGTTAAAACGAGACCTGGTTGTACTGGAGACCGCACAGCGACAGGCAACGAAAAATGTGAAGGGTTTGCCCCATCTGCAATACCATAGGCGACTGAAAGCCCTGGGAATGTACAGCAGAAGATATCGTCGTCTACATGGTGATCTCGTCCTGGCGTTTGCTGAGACCTCCAGAATCTCAACTGCAACGCAGGATTGATGGGTCATAAAGTGAAAATTGCTACCCAATACAGACGGCTGGAGTAACGCCGGAATTACTTTTCGTCTTTGTTAACCTTGAAACGATCTTTCGGCTTTTGTCATTTCAGCGCCCAAGGTACCCGTTTTTAAAAACGACTCGAAGATGCTTTGCATCATTTACTTTACTTGATCTGATTTGTGTTCATTAAGTAATGACAAGAAGCAGGAAAACATTGTGTTCATTAATCCCTCGAACTCGAATTAGACGGACATACTTATGTGTGAATGTGGATAACGTGGTGAGTCCACATATGTGTTTTTCAATTTTGTGTAGCTTAACTGAACTAACGTTGTTCCCAGAAAACATCCCACGGGATTTGTCAAGCCTTGGCTTTTTTAT